TAAACTTCTGTTATCAAAGTTCATAAGTTATCACATACATATATTAATATGATATCACAATTTGTTAATTGCTCCTTAGTGGAGCAGAAAATTGTCACCATATCTATTGCCACCAAATCACCATAATCTATTGATAACTGACAATTAACTAACATTCTGCTATGTACTTGAGATATTTATTATCAAGAAAAAAAGTAATATTTAACGTGATTCTAAGCGTATCCACAGCTCTTTGGGAGAAACAATTAGACCTGGCAATTTGTTTTCGAGGCTCGATGGCTCACCCTCAATAAAGAAGAAGTTAAAGTTCTGTACCAAAAGAACCACTGTCTCGAACATGTTATATCTGGCATAAGTTTCTCCTGCGCATAGCCGACGACCTACAAAAAAATACTTTTTTACAAAAAAAAACTTCAACAGAATTTATTGAATTTTATTAAAATCATGTATATCGATTTACCAAAACCAAAGGGAAGCGTAAAATCTTTGGCTAACTGTCCGTCCTCCTTCAAAAATCTTTCCGGTCTGAAAATTTTAGGATCGCCCCATAAGTCAGGATCATGATGTATAGCCGCCAAGTTAGTGAAAATTGATGTGTTCACCGGTATCTCGTAGCCTCCTAACGTGGTTTTCTTCAGACACTTGTGAGTTACGCTGAGAGGTGTGAGTGTTTCAATTCTCATCGTTTCTCGTATTGTCGCTTCCAAATAGGGCAAGCTGAAACAAAATGGAAATATTTTAAATAATTATTTTGAATCTCTGTATTGCTGAACGCAATGTAATTGAACTTGAATTCATACTAACGTTTGAAAATTATATTGAAAATAATACTTTTTACATCAAAAAACCAATGTGAAAAAACTTGTTATATAAAATAAGCTAAATATTAAACCGATTTTTAGTGTTATGTAGAGCATGTGATAAAGCATGATATATATAATGTTTTTGTGGCTAGTTGCACGCGAATATTTAAACTCGATTTTTCTGAACACAGAGCTTTATATAAAAAATTTTATTCTATATTTTCGACTTACTTTTACATGAAAAAATCATCTTCCCAGTTGTACTACGATTTCTGAAATATTCTATATTGATATTTATATATTTTATAAATTGCAAAAACGTTAACTTGCGACTCTATATGTATCCAGTGATATTTTATACTAACATTTTTTCTTGTTGTTGTGATTTATCGATATATAATTGAAAAGAAATTGTTCTTTCTCTCTTCCTTAAGTGTACAATAATCGTAAACTCACTTTTTTCTATCGTCCCATGTGGCTAATCGTCCGGTCCCAACAACATTATCTATTTCGTTCTGTACTTTCTCCATAACTCTAGGATGATGCATGAGATACTTAATAACATGAGTAATCATGATTGGTATTGCAGAGAAAGCGGGAAACATTACATCAGTTAACAAAATGATTAATTGTTCCTCCGTGAAATTATTCAACTTATCGTCTCCGTCCAATTTCTTTAGATATCTATCGACGAATCCTTGATCATCATTCTCGCTGATAATGGTTTTTTGATAATCCAGATATTTCTACGGAATAAAACACCATCGTATTTTTTAACTGGGATGCTCGAACAAGCAAGTCAATAAATAAATCGCTACACTGTTTAAATTTGAAATTTTGAAAACTTATGATTTAAATACAGAGTGATATGTTCGCATACAATAATTTAAATGCACATTTGTCAATTGAAATTAATTATCAATCGCGAATTTCGATTATAATTGTTTGAAAAATAACTTACTTTGATTATATTTGATACTGTGCTGCTTCCTTTTATATGGTTTGTGTAACCGAACATGTTACCGAAGTATCTAAAAATCGATCGCTGGGAAATAGCACCGCCAATTGTATCATTTGCTCTTTGAAACAGCAAAGCCATACGACAGAGACGTCGTGGTATATCATGCTCGCTTCTATCAAATCTACGACCGAACATAACGTTCCATATATTGTTAGCCGCCGACGCATACATAATGTCCGGAAAGAACGCCAAATTGCCTTTTAGTATTTCCTATAAATAATGAAATTTTTCTCTTATCTTTTTTTATTAAAAGATTTTTACGTACAACGACTGTACCTTCTCTCCATCGTAAATGGGTCCATTCTTCAAAATGTCGAGGAATAAAGTCATTTCATCCATGATCTCGCTCTCGAGCTTGTCCTGCCGTCGACCGAATCCAAAGTCGCGCATATGTCGGAGAGTAAATCTCCTCTGTTCTTGCCATTGCGGGCCCTCGATGAAAAATATACCTGCATGTGTGCAATTTTATAATATTTATTTACTAATCTATAATCAAACAAGTTCGTTATTTACGCTTTAATTATCGTTAATGTTTCCAATTTCGAACAAGTGCTTTTGATATAGAAGAATTGAAGAACAAATTTTCAAAATGCATTTTATCCAAAATTTCAGTTTTTTTTTTTTTTTTTTTTTTTTTTTTTTAGTTAGAGATGGTAAAATGTTCAGTGTCGAAAGATTCATATTATAAGCTACTCTGAGATGTTCAGAAAGTATTCATCGTCAATTTATACGCTGAAAAAACGTAGACATTTCGAAATTATTATGTTTTTTAACTAGAGACAAACAAAATGCATTTGTTTAACATTCTTAGCAATTGTTTAGCAATTTTGTTTAATATTTCACATCCTACTAATTGACATATTGTTATTTTCTTGTGTGCGTAGTTTCTTTCTCGTTTTCTAAAAATTACAAAACACATTCTGAAAATCTGCTCCTCAATTATATATCGCATGTACATCGAAAAGTAAATATATAATTATATTAAATACGAAGAAGAACGTTAGCTTATCACGGTCAAAGTTAGATGTTTTGAAATAATACAAAATATATTCAAAACGTAACATTTAAATCAAACATAACATCTAAATCAAAAACATAGATAATAGACTGCGCAATCTGTGATCAAAGTGGTCGATAAAAGTAAGAGAGAAGAACCATTGGAAGACAGCCAATCTGTATCTCTTTCCATTCAACGGTATAATGGCAGAAAAAATAGAGAGCTTTTGCAATAACGTGAATTCAGATACGGTGAATGCTAAAGTCTTTTTATCCTTTTCTTAATTAATTGTTAACCCTAGTATGGTAGTTATTTTTGATTATCTTCCCGATAGTTATTTTTGATTATCTTCCCGATAGTTATTTTTGATTATCTCCCCGATAGTTATTTTTGATTATCTTCCCGATAACATCAGAGTTTGTGGAATTCTACAACTTTGTCATACTATACATATATCTCTGGACTGAATATATATTTTTAGCTTAAAACGTGTGAAATTTATACCTCGAAGTCAGACAAAGACAGATAAATATAAATCAAATAAATAATATTTTATTTTCAATTAATTACAATGCTTTAAAGAAATTTTATTGAAAAAGTTCGCAAAAAATGATTAATTTGGATTAAAAATTCTCAAATTTTTAAATTTAATGTTCAAGCAAAAACCCGTAGGATTTTTTTAGTTAACCCTTTGGTTAACTAACAAAAAAATAGTACGATATGAATCGCACAAAAAAAGTATTTATTTGAACTATCGAAAATCGACATTTTTGAAAAATCTACATATTATAAATTTACAATTAATACATAAAATTTTATTATTTAAACGATATAAAATATGAAAAATAAAGTATTGTACATATATAAATAATATTATAGTATATATAATTAAGTTTATTAGGATTTAATTTAGAGGATGATACAACACTCGCTCTAGCGAAGCAATTCATTCGCTTCGGCCGAGCGATTTTCGAAGACTGACAGAGATTATAAAATTTCTACTATTTATTATATTGAAATAATTCTTTATAATTCTTTTTAATTTCCGTACTTACTTTTATACTATCGAAACTCAGTAAATGTATATTTAATAAAAAATAAAGGAGTACCCAGAACGTTGAAATTTACAAGCTAATCACGTGTAGGTCCCAAGTACTCTCTTTGAACTTTCGTGCATTCTCACATCGAGAATAACGTAAAAAAAAAAAAATATTCTTGCAGGTTTACCATATCTATGGACAGTTAAAGTTTTTTTTTAATCTCAATCCGGGTCTTCAAATTATATTATAAAAGTTGCAGCAATGCAAAAATCGCATAGAATACGTTGAATCCGTATTAAAAGTAAGATAACGATAAGAAGATAAGATTTTAGTATTCACCGTATCTGGGTAAACAGTATTGCAAAAATCCCTAATGAAAAGGACAGTGATCGTCTTCCACGGTCCCTCTCTCTTATTATTGTCAATCACATTTGATTATCACTTAAATACAAAGAGCAGTCTATTATCTACGTCTTTGTTTTAAATTAATTTTATTTCAGATAAAATTAAGTGCTAATAACAACTTTCAACACAATCAATCTGAATCCACAAATTAAATTAGAAAGACTGTAAAGAACTTATTGCGAAAAATTATCTCTGCAAGATTCGAATCTGGGACCAATTTCGAAGGATACAATAAGTTCTTTATAGTTTTTCTAATTTAACTTAGGAGGGGATCAGTAGTGTTTCAGATTGATTGTGTCGAAAGTTCAGTTATCAATGTGTTCAATCTGATGTATTCACATGTATGGTCTAAAATCTAAAGTCTAACAGTAATTCTAAAAAAAAAGTCTTAATAATTTACATAATTATATTTTTCATTACCTAATTCCTTTCCGAAAGCTCGATCCTTTATATGCGCTGTAATAACTCGGCCATCAAATTCCTCTCTTGAAAGTACTTCTTTTATGCTTTTGTAATCGTTCACTATTATTGTAAAATTATCACCCATATAGCAACTAATAATCTTTGACTTTA